TGTGGGAGGATGCTTACCCTGCAGTCACCCGTGCAGTCCCTGTTCTGTGGACAAACATATCCCCATGGCTGGCAATCCAAGGCCTTTCCCAGCATAACCTTTACTTGACTCCAAAAGCGCTCTACCGAGAGAGCTCTCCATGCATCAGGAGAAGGGCTCTGCTGAGAGCCAAGCTGGGGTGCCCTTGTAGGACAGGGTCACCCCACATCTCAGGAGAACACAGCCCATCTCAGCCACATCCCCTCAGCTCCTCAGATGGGCACAAAGGCATTTCAGGAGCCAGGCCCCAGCTTAGTTTGCACTGGGTATGCTAATTCTGCAAGGAAGGGCTTTGATGTGCCCCTAACCAATGTGGGATTGGGAAGAGGGAGCCTTGCATGGGCTACAATTTGTCATCAGAAACCAGTAAGCCCCACAGAGGTCAATGGGCTTTGGACTAGGCCCTTCAAGAAAGACAGCATTTTCCCAGCTGTCTCTGATCAGGAGCATGAATTGTGACTCTGTCTACAGCAGCATCTATTCGCTGAACACTCCCAAAGTTGGCTCTTCTGCCACATTGGATCCTCTGGTGGGACCCTCAGTCCAGACAGGGGTCCAGGCACTGAGATTTCAAGCACCGCATCTGCTAACCCAGCTCAATGCAGGTTCTGTGCTTACACGCCTGGTGTCTAGCAGAGCCCTCCTGGCTGCTGAGGGAGGGCAGCTGGTGTTAGCCAGTGAAGTTAGGCCCTGTGCACATAGTATAGCAGGACAGATCTCCCTCCCCCGCCCTTCACAAAGTCTCTCTACACTCACATTATGCAGACACTTAGCTTTTGTCTTTATACTCTTACACCCAACTCTGGCATTTATATTCTGCTTCCCTAAATTCCCCCTGCAAAACTGAGCACCTTGGTCCCATTACCTCCCTCTCCTGAACTGTTGTGCCTCGCACCAGTACACTTGCAATGCAATGCTCCCCAGAGGCAGCTGCATTTCAGTGGTGGACAAAGGCAAAGAAATAAACACCTCTTCATGTCCCCAGAGGCAGTCTGTAACACGCCCTGGGGTTCACATCCCCAGAAGCTGTCTGTAACACACCATGCACCAATTCTTCCCGGCAAAAGGCACTATGTACCAATACAGGGGATCGGATGTTGTTGGTATTAATTACTATAGTACATAGGAAGAAACCACAATCTATGTTGGTGCAGATCGTGTGTGTGTGCGTGCGTGTGGTCTCCCTGGCCCTGTGTCTTCGTGCTGAAAGGAGCAAAACTGGTGCTGCCAGTTATTTCCTTCTCTTCACAGCTCCTTTTCTTCCTTCATTAGACATTTTGATTCACTTTCTCCAACCCCCATCAGCTCTGTCACCAAATCTGGGTCCAGAGGCTAAATTTCAATAGCACATTTCAATTCAGTCACAAAAAAAATCCTGAAGACTGAAGGAAGAGCTCAAATCTCAGCAGTGACACCGTACGGAAAAATTGTCAATGAAGGAGGGAGCAAGGAGGGATGGTGCAGATGCCAGATCAAAGAGTGAAAGGGGTAGAGAAGGGAAAAGTAAGAAGAGGGAAAAAATGAAGGAAAGCAAAAATGAAGGGATAGTAATTCTGGGGAATTCAGAGTGCTTTGCTGTTTATGAGACATCATTTGTGCCCCAGATTTTTGTTTCAGAGTGTTATTGTGATGGGAAATACTCGGGGATGATGGACAGGACTTAGTGTTGCAGGGAAAGGGTTTGTAAAACTATTCTAGGAAAGGTTTGATTGGTATTTTAAATTTAAGGCAGGAAAGGGGTGCAAGCAGAAATCTTGTCCTTATGGGTCAAGCCTAGTTCAGCTGAGCTCCTTCCAGTGCTGAGTGCTAAGAAAACACTCAATAGATAGACAGATAGACAGATAGATTAGATTAGATTAGATTAGATTAGAGAATGTAGCCACCTTCTGCTACACTACAAATTTATTATTTTATTTTCAGGATTAAACTACAAGGGTGAATTTTGACATCTTTTGATCTAATCTCTTTGGGCCTGATTCTGATCCTCTTAGTAGCATTGCCCTCAGTAATTCCTACTGATTGTAAAGGGGTTATTCCTGAGGAGAGGGGCTACTCAGTGTGAAAAAGGGAACTGGTTTCTGGCCCTTTCAATATCACATGCTTTGGTTTGTGACTGAAAAATGCAACTAGCGTAAGATTTCTCAATCTGGTGCGCTCTTACTCACATGAGTAACTCTGCCACAGTCATGTGAGTAAATGCTCGTTGTTATGTATAAGGGTTGCACAATCTAACCTGCACTGTTTATATCTCTGGCTGGCAAAACTGACAGCACAATTTGCCCAGCCCAGGCACAAATCTATTTACCACGTCTTTATTATGCTGGTGAAATGAATGAATGATATTTCACTTGAGTTTCGCAAAAAGAATTAGCCAAAGCAAACAGGAAAGAAGAATTTTGCCCAGCTCCCTGTATGCTGTATACATCTTTCTCTTCCAATTATTTTATTAGGTCCTATTCAAAGCTTCTTAAAGTGATATTAAAACAGCAGCAAAACAGTTTCCCTTCAAAAAAAGTAAATATTTAATGAATGAAATTGACATTGATGCATTTTTAATATTGGCACAATTAAATCTGCCAGATGATTAAGTATTAATAACTCTTAATAAGTGCAATCAACTTGCCTTCAAATAGAATGAATTCAGGAGTGGAGCAATGCAAGGAGTGTTGCCATCAGCCTGCAATGGGATAGACAACAGCGATTGGGGGTGGCCAATTTGTTCTGTTTGTTTAGCAATCTTTAAACTTCCTTTATGTGTAATGTATTTACTCTCCTGTGTAAAGTGGGGAGATCACATGCACTCACACAAATTATCTTTTGGCATTTTAGAAAAGTTGCTGATGTAAAATTTAAAATATCCAACTAACGCCGTTTAGATACTAGCCATTTATGTCCCTTTCCTATCAGCTGTCTGCATTTAGAATATTTACCATTTCAAACCAACTCAGCACTCTCCTCCGGGTTGGGGGGGGTGGGGGTGTGGTTTGCAGGAATCTATCTATCTATCTATCCTGAAATATCTGGTAGAAGTTCTGAATGCACACGCATGAGCTAGCTCCACTCCAAAGCTTAAAAAGTAAAGAGGGATGACATTTTAATGAGATGAGTGTCTCAAATTAAAATGCATTTTTTCAGTACGATATTTAAAATATCAGCACAAGCCTGATTATTTTTCTGGACTGGGGAAGGGTAACAGTAACAGACCTGAGAACTAGAGAGTTAAAATGGCCAGACAGTTGCCAGCTGCGGAACAATCATCCATCTATCATGTTAAAGACCAAGTTTCATTTTGGCTTCCTAGAAACTCCAGAGAATACCTCTTGCTACCTGCATCCTGTAGTCTCATTTTATGTCTTGGAAACCATTCTGTTCTTTCCATCTGGGAGAGATCTGACCTCCCATGTACCAGTTCTGTGCTTCCCCCTCTGTTTCAGTCATCTGGTGCCTCTACCTGAACTGGGGCTCAGCATTATATAAACCCCTTATCTCAGGAATCCTACCTGGGAAATATTGGAAATCAAGGAGTAATGAACTCACGCATGCTACAGGGTATTAACTCCTAATTCTGCAAAGGAGAAAGCAATCAGGATTACAAGGCCTCTGGTTTGTATTTAGCAGGGGAGCTTTTCAGAACAGCCATCCGAGGAAAAGTTGCAAAGGCATGGGATGATTTTATTATTGTAGATCTTTCAGGAGGGGCAGTTTTGGGGATGGGGGACAGTGATCTAAGCTCCCACCTGGTCAGGTAGTTCTGAAATTTACCAGCTTTCATTACCCCTCTCCCTTGAAAAGAATCCCTCTGAGGAGCAGAGAATATTCCATGACACATTTAAAGCTAAACCAAGATTTTGAAACATGAGTAGGGAATCCGTTATCAAGCAGAGTCGGATTTGGATCCTCTGCTTTTTACAAATCAAGAGGGAGTACCTTACTTCTTTATTCCTTTTAAAAATACAAAACAGAGTATTTGTTAAGGACCTAGCTGGGATGGATGAGGAACATTTATTGTATTACAAATCAGAGCATTTACCTAGACGCAAACTGAGTCTGCTTCCCTCGCCTAGCTCTTTGGCTGCTGCTACTCAATTGGTTTACCCCTTTGCTTTTTGCATGCTACTACTTTCACAACAGTTGCAAGAAGTCACCCAACAGGTAATCCTTTCCAGGACTGCTTCCCCCCGACTTTCGACATTCAGCGAGGTTACCAGCTGCCAGCCGATGACAGACACCATTTTTCCCTGCAAAATGTTGTTCCTCAACTGCAGTATAAGCCCAGCCATAAACACCCCATTATTATTATTTAAAGGGATCAAGAGGTTTTATTCTCTGTTTTGAAGTGATTTTCTCTCCAGCTAGAAACCAAACCGAAAAGCTGCCCCCCCCCATGGGCACGAAAATATTCATTTGTAAACACAAACTCAATTTTTTGGCACTAATTTAAATCACTAGACAAAGGAGAGGTAGGCAACTCCCAGTGCCTAGCCCCCATCCATGCTTGAACCAGACCACTCCTGGTAAATGTGGCAAAGCCAGCAGTTACTGATGGCACACACATGGGGCTCAGCCCCACAAGGACGGGGGGAGGGGGAAATGTATAACCAGGCACCCTGCTCTTCATCTGACCCAACTTTACCCTCTCCATGGCTCAGAGTCCTGCGATCTGGGGGCAGCTGCAGCGGGGCTGGGTGGGTGACTGGAGAGTGTCTGGGTGCAGGTGTGGATGCTGGGGGCCAGATCCTCTCCCCCTTGCACACACGGGGCCTGGGGAGCTGGTGGGCTTTGGGGGCTGGGTGCACAGTGCAGGTGGGGGAGCTGGGGCAGTTGAAGCAGGACTGGGTGGGTAATCTGGGGGGGTGTGGGGGCTGGGTGCATGGTGCAGGCGGGGAGCTGGGGCCGGGCCCCACTCCCCCCAGCAGCCGGCCCTTTGTTGCTCCGGGCCGGGGCCCGGGGGGCGCCCCTACCTTTGTGCATGCCGGTGAACCTGTCCTTCAGCACCGTGAGCTCGTAGATCTTGCCGAACTCCTCGAAGAGGGGCTTGAGGTCCCCCTCCTCCAGGTTGCGGGGGATCTGCCCCACGAACAGCTTGATGGCATCGTGGTCCTTCATGGCGATGCCGGCCGGGCCGGGGCTCAGCCCGTTCATCCTGGCGGCGCTGTCCGCGGTGCTGAGCGCGGCGCCGCCGCTGCCCGTGGCCATGCTCCCGCGGCCGGCCGCGCTCCTGCTCCGCGCGCGGGGCCGCCTCTGCGCGCCCCTCCGCGCCCCGCTCGCGCCTGCCCCCCGGCCGGATGACGTCAGCCGGCTAGCCCGCCACGAGACGCAAGGGTTTAGCATAATGAGGCAGCGGGAGCCAATCAGAGGGGGCAGCCGGCAGCGGGACAGGGGCTGGGAGACAACCTCTCTCCCGCCCCCTGCCAGCCCCGCTCCCCCGCGCACGGGGCTGGGGGTGCCCGGGGCGCGGCGGGGAGGGGGCTGCGGAGCGGCAGGGCGGGGTGGGCTGCACCAGCCTGCTCCGTGGGACTGGCACCGGGCGCCGGAGCCGCTCCGAGAGCAAAGGGAGCTACTGTTGCCGCAGATGCCTGAGCGGCTCAGCTGGGCGGGCGGGAGCCGGGGCAGAGGCCGGAGGATCAGGGCTGACTGCCCTGCAAGCCAAGAGTTGGGGGAGCTGGGCAGAGGGTAAATGCCAAGGCGGTGGGAGGGGAGCGGTGCCAGCCCTGTGCGTGCTGGCCCCAGGAGCAGACACCAGGGGCCGGAGCAAGGTGCAGCACCCAGCACCACGCACACCCCTTGGACTCAGCCAAGCTGCCAGCCTCTTTCCTCCCCGGTAGGGCATTTGTGTGTTTTGACAGCCGGCAGCAGAAGAGCATAGGTGTAGGGGTGCGCGGGAGGGTGCTGCCGCACCCTTGGCTAGAAGTGGTTTCCATCACCTACAGGGCACAGTTTGGTTCAGTGGCTATCAGCACCCCGGCTAGGCAGATTGTTCCAGCACCCCTGCAGAAGGGGAGACTTTGTGCAATCAGAAGAAGGATCTCTCCAGCTGCTCATGAACTGACAACTTTAGGGTCTGCCAGACAGAAACATTTGCCTTTTAACAAGGGGTATAAGGGGACAGAATACAACAGAAATATCTAATCAAATCCCACCCTCTCTCATCAGATGTGTTAAGGTTAGGTGTCTGTCCAATATCAGATTAGATAGATAGATAGATTAGATAGAGGTGGTGTATGGGGATAGATAGATTAGTTTAGATCTTCCATTGATTTCAGTGGAATTTAGACATTTAAATACCTGTGTGGATCTGGGCCTATGTTGTTTTTAACATAAATACACTGGTCAGGAGCAGAATGGGAGCTGTTATGACAAATATTATGTTAAACAAGCTGGGGTAGAAGCCTAGCAAGCTGGCTATGCAGTGAGGCACTTTGGATTTCAGCACACTCTTTATAGTCTCATCCAGTAGCCTGGAGGAACTGAAAGGTCAGTTGAAAGGGAACATGTAACTGGGGAGCTCCCTGGGCCTGGGCCTCAACCCAGGAGGGAGCTTTGGGGGGAACCTGGGCTCCTCTTGCATCCCCAGGGGCAGGGCCCTCAGAGCCTAATGCCAGGGCTCTGCATATGGGGGTAGAGGGAGATGGGATCTCAGATCACACTTCCCCCTGAGTTCACACTGCCCTGAATGGAGGATGATGGGGAGGGAGATTGGATTTGTCTAACAGAGTGTGGAGGGGAAGCACCCTCATCCTGCAAAATGAGATCTCAGAGCTCAGGCCCTCCCCCCACTCCCAGTGCGGGCAAACACAGTGGGAGTGAGATGCCATTTGCTTAATTCCCATCCCTTCAACCTCTCCAGCTTGTGCTCAGTACACCATGGGCACTGGAGGAGATGCCCATATTTCCCAGCTCAGGCCTAGCCAGTCCCTCTCTTGGTAGCAATGTGCAGCACCATTGGCTGTGCATGGTCTTCCCAGGCTGTGGGAAGCTGGGGTGGGAGGAGGCCTCGTGTGGAAAGGAGCCACATTTATCCTCCTGTGACGAAGTGGGGTTTTATTCATCTTGTCATGTTGCATGTGAGTCTTACTGTCCTATACTAATACTGTGTGTACCTTAGTTTCCCTGTGTACTGCACCAATACTTGGGTGGTGGGAATTGGGTGTGTGTGATTTTTGCTGATGCCCTCAGGGCAGGTGAGGCTGCCCAGCTGTTTGCACCTATGTAACCTGTGACCCAGGAGGGGGGATGTGACTAGGTGACACCTTTTGCCCCGGAAGGGAGACAAAGAGAAGGAGGAGGAACAACAAGGGGGGTGTTGGAGGTTGGTTGCTGGAAGCTGGCAGTCTGGTGGGGAGACTGGAAGAGGGGAAGTCCAGGGCGTCTGACCCAGGACTCCCATGATGCACTTGGCTGAAAGTCACTGATTTCTGTGATACCAAGCTCTGTTCTACACTGTGTTCCTGTCGAATAATAAACCTTCTGTTTTACCAGCTGGCTGAGAGTCACGTCTGTCTGCAGAGTTGGGGTGCAGGGCGCTCTGGCTTCCCCAGGAGCCCCACCTGGGCAGACTCGCTGTGGGAAGCGTATGGTGTGGAAAGGGATGCTGAATGCTCCGAGGTCAGACCCAGGAAGGTCGAAGCTGTGTAAGCTTCTTGCCCTGGTGACAGTGTGCTCAGAGAGAGGAGGCTCCCCCAGAATCCTGACTGGCTTCATACAGAGTAGTTCCAGAGCATTGACGCGGTAACTCCGTGACACCCACCATCCCCCGCAGACTGCCAAATAACCACAGCCGCCTGGGTGTATGATGAAATGGCTGCTCCAAAGGGGCCTCCAGACATGTGGTTGTTCACCTACCAGATGCTCCACAGGGGAATGTTTAAATCCCTCATACCCTCTGCACAAATCAGCCAGCCATGAGTGTGAGAGCTGCCTCCCCCGCCCCCCCTCAGCATCCCCCGCAGCCCAGACCAGCAGCCCTTGGCTGCAGAGAGAGGAAGTGAGCTGAAAGGCCTGGAGAGCAGTGTGGTAACTGGAGGAACACCAGCACCTGAAGGCCAATCTCCAGACCCCACCTGGAGGCTCAAATGGGCACTGCTGTGACGGGCAAGAACAAGATCATGGGAGACAATGAGCCAGCTGGGAGGAGCAACACCGCCAGCCTCTTTGGCCTGTGGGAGGTGTTTGAAAAGAACCCAGGAACTGCCCAGCACCACTATAATCAGCATCAGGGGGGTCTCCGCTGGCCCCCTTGTCAGTCCAAGTGGAGAGGCCAAGGGCTGAGTGAGCTGTGCAGTGTGAACTCCCTTCTGTTTTTCTGGGCTGGTCCCTTGAGGTACCTCGATGGGGCAGGGTGAGAGGCATTGCTGCTGCTCCTACTCCACTGTGGCTTTGGTATATAGAAAACTCTGAGCTGCAGGGGCCGTCATTCCAGCCCATCCCTCCCAGTGGGAGTTTCGCCGTTGACTTCAGTAGGGCCAGGATTTCACCCATCATTCGTAGCGATTCATGTGCATTTACTCCAAGACAACATGTATGTTAACGGAGGGAATGGACAGCTGTCAATATAAGCCATATGGCTGACACAAGAACATAAGAATAAAAACATAAGAATGGCTATACTGGGTCAGACCAAAGGTCCATCCAGCCCAGTGTCCTGTCTACTGACAGAGGCCAATGCCAGGTGTCCCAGAGGGAGTGAACTAAACAGGTAATGATCTAGTGATCTCCTTCCTGCCATCCATCTCCACCCTCTGACAAACAGAGGCTAGGGACACCATTCCTTACCCATCCTGGCTAATAGCCATTAGCCAGACTTAACCTCCATGAATTTATCCAGTTCTCTTTTAAACCCTGTTATAGTCCTCGTCTTCACAACCTCCTCAGGCAAGGAGTTCCACAGATTGACTGTGCACTGAGTGAAGAAGAACTTCCTTTTATTTGTTTTAAACCTGCTACCCATTAATTTCATTTGATGGCCCCTAGTTCTTATATTATGGGAACATGTAAATAACTTTTCCTTATTCACTTTCTCCACACCACTCATGATTTTATATACCTCTATCATAACCCCCCTTAGTCTCCTCTTTTCCAAGCTGAAAAGTCCTAGACTCTTTAATCTCTCCTCATATGGGACCCGTTCCAAACCCCTAATCATTTTAGTTGCCCTTTTCTGAACCTTTTCTAATGCCAGTATATCTTTTTTCAGATGAGGGGACCACATCTGTACGCAGTATTCAAGATGTGGGCGTACCATGGATTTATATAAGGGCAATAAGATATTCTCCGTCTTATTCTCTATCCCTTTCTTAGTGATTCCTAACATTCCGTTTGCTTTTTTGACTGCAGCTGCACATTGCGTGGACGTCTTCAGAGAACTATCCACAATGACTCCAAGATCTTTCTCCTGATTAGTTGCAGCTAAATTAGCCCCCATCATATTGTATGTATAGTTGGGGTTATTTTTTCCAATGTGCATTACTTTACATTTATCCACGTTAAATTGCATTTGCCATTTTTTTGCCCAATCACTTAGTTTTGTGAAATCTTTTTGAAGTTCTTCACAGTTTGCTTTGGTCTTAACGATCTTGAGCAGTTTAGTATCATCTGCAAACTTTGCCACCTCACTGTTTACCCCTTTCTCCAGATCATTTATGAATAATTTGAGTAGGATTGGTCCTAGGACTGACCCTTGGGGAACACCACTAGTTACCCCTCTCCATTCTGGAAATTTACCATTTATTCCTAACTTTTGTTCCCTGTCTTTTAACCAGTTATCAATCCATGAGAGGATCTTCCCTCTTATCCCATGACAACTTAATTTACATAAGAGCCTTTGGTGAGGGATCTTGTCAAAGGCTTTCTGGAAATCTAAGTACACCGTGTCCACTGGATCCCCCTTGTCCACATGTTTGTTGACCCCCCTCAAAGAACTCTAATAGATTAGTAGGACATGATCTCCTTTTACAGAAACCATGCTGACTTTTGCGCAACAATTTATGCTCTTCTATGTGTCTGACAAGTTTATTCTTTACTGTTGTTTCAACTAATTTGCCCGGTACTGATGTTAGACTTACCGGTCTGTAATTGCCAGGATCACCTCTAGAGCCCTTCTTAAATATTGGCGTTACATTAGCTATCTTCCAGTCATTGGGTACAGTAGCTGATTTAAAGGACAGGTTACAAACCATAGTTAATAGTTCCGCAATTTCACATTTGAGTTCTTTCAGAACTCTTG